CACCCCGCACCCCTGCTGTGCAGAAATGTGTGCTGTCAGTCAGCAGCAATCCCCACCCCCTCACATTGCTGGTCTCTCTACCCCCCAACTCCACACAATGCCGGTCTCCCTAACACCCCCAGCCACAAAGAGTTGGTGTCTCTGCCACTCCCCTTCCCCACCCTCCTGCTGCTGGTCTCTCTACCTCCCCAAAGGGCTGGTTTTTCTATCACCCCCCCCCACACACACACACACACTCACGAGGTCCCAGGGTCCCCTTGTGCACCCCCACTGCCCCGCCCCAGGAAACCTACAGTCAGAGAATCTCTCTCATTGGAACGTTTTTCGGTGGGAATGGGCAGGGGGCTGAACCCAAACTTTCCGCTGGAACGTGTCGGTCCCCACGACACATGGGCTTTGCAGGTTCTTCAGGGTGGAGCAGCAGGTCGACGAGAGCTCCCAGGCCTGAGTTAGGCAGTAGGGAGTTCATGGGGCGGTGGGAGACCTGGTGGTCAGGGTGAGCTCTGTGCGATTTGGAGCAGGGGTTTGACCCTGGATCCCATGTGAGCAGCTGAAGCGCTGGGCTGGGGGGTTCTCTGTGCCCCACAAGGTCAGTGTACTGTGGGCGCATCTCCACTGACCCAGGGGCAGGTCACTCGGCCGTGGTCTGGGCCCTTGGCTGGGATGCGGTGCAGTGAGGCAGGAGGCCTGTGTGAGTCCAGCATCCACCATGTAAGGACACTAGACTGTGCTGGCAATCACCCATAACGGAGCCCAGGGCCACGGGCACCGGCATCCAAATGGGAAATAAATGCTGATAAAATTGTGAGTCCAAACGGGACCCTCGTGGTGGATGAGCTGTAGAAGCTGGACACAAACAAGGTCCTAGCCCTCCACCGGGTGATGGTGGCCCTGCAGAACTGGCTGAAGGCATATCAGGAGGAGAACACCCCAAATAGATGCACCCCCCACCCCACCCTTACAGCATGGCCTCTCTTCCTCGCCTGAGGGGGGAAAGGGAAGGCAGCAGCTTGTGGATTTGCAGCTGCCTCCACGACGCATTTGTTAGAAAAGAACAGGTTACCCAGAGTCGGATGGGGTAACAGGGCACCTTTATTGCTGCTTCTCCTTCCGTCTCCGATCCCACCTGCCTGGGATGCGAGTGAACCAGGAATTTACTCAGTTTACATACATCCTATTAGCCATTGGAACTCACATCCATAAGGTGAGCAGGATGCAAAAGTAATTGGCGATGAATACATCTGAGAGTATCCAAATGTACAGTAACGAAGGCTAAAACCTTCCAGATTCTGGGTAAAAGCCAACCCTCTGGAGGTTTAGGAGGAAACTTTCCCTTGCACAGGATAGCTGTGTACACCTCAGTGGTATTTCCTCTGAAGTCACCAGAACTGGCTACTAGAGACAGGATACGGGTCATATGGATCAGGGCTCTGATCCAGCCTGGCAAGTCCCACATCCCTAGATATCTACCAGACAAAATTATTGCTTAACTTGGGCGTTTTTCATCGCTCAGACATGTGAAGAGGTGGAATACTGCACAGCATGCAGAGATGTTCCATGACCAACAAGGTGAGAGTCAGTCACTTGTTAGTATCTTAGTGCATCTCTATGCAGCATAAAATGGGCAGCATAACATCTAACACCCCCTTTGGCCTTCCTCTCAGACTAGCGAAGCCTCCCTCTTTTGGGGTATTTCATTAAAATGGATCGAAGGCCACCAATAAATGGTTCTCGAGACACATTGAGCCATGACCCTGGATTTGCAGTGAAACATCCCAGGAGCTGAAAATGTCTGTTCTGACACAGGGAGCTAACGTGTTAACATCAGTTTCTCACCCTATACTTGCAGTGTGGAGAAGTCAGAAAGAAAATCGCATGGCTCTGGACTCAGCACCATTTCCACGTCTGCGACAACACGCAGACCATTTGTTCCCGCAGCTGCTTGGTTTTCATCCCATAAACAAAGGGGTTTAGCACGGGGGCAATGAGCTGGTCGAGATCGGCCAGCAAGATGTGAATACCATAAACAAAGGGGTTTAGCACGGGGGTGACGAGCACGTAGAGATTGGCCAAGAGGATGTGAATGTGTTTAGGGACATTGTGGCCAAAATGGTGGGTTAGGAAAGTGAAAAAGGCTGGAACGTAAAATAAGAGGATAATACAGACGTGGGAGCCACAGGTGCCGAGAGCCTTGAGCCGGGCATCTTTGGTGGGCAGCTTGAAGACAGCCCCGAGGATCAGCACATAAGACAGAGCAATAAACAAAACATCAACTACAATGGTTAAGAGAAACATTGAAAACCCAAACCAGATATTGATGGTTATGTCCGTACAGGCCAGTCTGGCCACCCCGATGTGCTCACAATGGGAGTGTTCAATGACATTGCTTGCGCAGAAGGGCAACCGTTTGAGCAGAAAAACAAAGGGAAAAACTATACAAAAGCTTTTGACAACAATGGCTATGGCTATTTTCCCGATCTTCTCATTGGTGAGGACAGTCGTGTACCTCAGGGGGTCGCAGACGGCGACGTATCTATCGAACCCCATGGCCAGCAGGATGTCCGACTCGGTGGCAAACCCAAAGCGAACAAAGAACACCTGGGTTAGGCAGGAACTGAAGGAAATGGCCATGGGCCCAACCCAGAAGATGGCCAGCGTGTTGGGCACGGTGCAGGTGGATAACAGTAAGTCGGCCACCGCCAGCATGGAGAGGAAAATGAACATGGGCTCGTGCAGCCTGCGCTGGGTGGCGATGAGCAGGAGGAGACCACAGTTCCCCAGAGCAGCCGCCGTGTACATCAGCGCGAAGGGGATGGAGATCCAGGGGTGCCAGGGCTCCAGGCCCGGGATGCCGACCAGGACGAAGCTGAGGTGACTGAACGTTGTGCTGTTGGGCGCGGCCATGGGGCGCTGAGGGCTCCGCTTGGGCGCCGGGCCTGGCTGGAAGTAGAGACAAGGTCAGTGCCTGCTGGGCTCCTGCCCCCTCACACTCACTTCTCACTTCCTGCTCACACTCTGCGCCCCTGGCTGAGAGCCGCACTCAGAGCTGGGCAGGGCAGAGCTGGAGCCGCTGACAGGGACCTGTCAGGAGCTCGGAGCTCAGAGGTGACCACTCTACAAACCAGCCACAGAGCAGGCAGGGCCGGGCGGAGAGTCTCAGAAGGTATGTCTACACTAGCCCCCAAGTTCGAACTAGGGAGGCTAATGTAGGCATTCAAAGTTGCAAATGAAGCCTGGGATTTAAATATCCCCGGGCTTCATTTGCATCTTCCCAGGCGCCGCCATTTTATAATCCCCCTTAGTCCAAACTCCGTGCCCGCGGCTACATGCGGCACGCAGTAGGTAGTTCAAATTAGGATCTCTAATTCAAACTACCGTTACTCCTCGTGTAGACGCAGCCCATGAAGCCGACCTCCCTCAGCTCCGGGACACTCCCAGAAACAACAACAGACCCTTCAGCTCCTTGCACCCCATGAGGATTTATTCTCCCAGCTTTCGCCCTGCTCCCTGCTTTGCCTTGCCTCTGAGAGACATTGAACCCCCGGGGAGCTGCCGAGCCCACGAACACAGCGGCCACTCAGAGTGCTTCAGTGCAGAAAGGGGCACTAATGGATTCGGAGGCTGGATACAGGACTGACCCCAGGATCCCAGCGGTGGCCGGACCAGCACCAGACACGGTGGGGATAGAATCTCCCTGCGCCTACGGACAGTCCCCGCCCATAGAGGCTCCCGTTCACCTTACCCCTGAGTCCTTGCCATGGTCAGCGCCTCTGGATTTTTCCACAGTGCTGCTTGGCTGGCAGGGGGATCCATTCTGCTAACCCTTCACCCATTTTTGGCTAATGAATTCCTCAAAAAATGAGGTTACCAGGATCGGTCAAAAAAGGATTTATTTTTGAGAGATCCACATCAAGATGGTGGGTTTTTTTAGAAAAAACTCCATTTAGAAAAAAAAAATCAACGGCCATGTTTAAGCTAATGAGACATGGGATATTTAAATACCGGCTTCTTTAGCAATTTCCATGTGCCATATCTACCTCTCTCTGTCAACAGAGAGGTGTAGTCTAGACAGACCCTGATTGTCCGTCTGTCTGTCCATTCAAGAACTCCTCTGAGCTGGGAAGAAATAGGGACACCCAATTTGCCAGGTAGCTACATCTTATCCTAACTTCAAAGCAAGGTCAGAGCCCGGTTGTGCCTAGACCATGGGCTGTGCCTGGAGTGGGACTGGGTCTCCATACACGGCACAGGAAAGAGAGAGGCACACCCGTTCCCTTCCCCCCAGTCTGGGACTGTCCCCTCCCTCCAGGCACATGTTAGAGACATCTGAGGGGGATGAAGCTTCTCTCCCGGTTCCCACGGCTGGCTGGTCTCCCTTGCAGGCAGTGGGGGGAAGGGGCAGAGGCAGCAGGATGTGCAGTCGGCTGCATTACGCATTGTGGTTGGGAGCGCACAGGGGGATGGATGGACCGGGACCTGTCCCAGCCGGGGCACCGGAATCCCTCCCCGGCAGTGCCTGGTGGATTGAGGCAGCCATAGAGGGGAGATTCCTATGTGCCCCAAGCTGGGGCAGTGAGAAAAGCCTGGGGGAGCCCTCTCTCTTGAGAAACCTGAACCCCTCCTCCCCAGCCCAGCCCAGCCTAGGGCCATGGCTCCAGATAAGCCTTGGCATGTTCATTAGATTTTCCAAATTCACACACTGCACGAGTGTCGGCCCTGAGCAAGGCCTATTCCCCTCCCAGCACCAGAGGGAGGCCCCTGAGGAGAGACAGAACCTCCCGCTCCCCATTGCAACCAGTGCCTGACGACTCCAGGTCCGGGGGAACCCAGAGAAGTGTCACGTTCTCCCACATCTGCCCCTGCCCTTCCCTGCAGCCCTGGTGCTGCTCCTGAGGGTGGGGGGCAGGCTGGTGAAACTGGACCCCGCTCCAGCCCACGCTAGAAAGACCCGTTAGCGGAATCTGCGCGTTGCTCTTTGCTGTTTTAACTCACTGCCCCAGGCCAGCAGCTGGTCAGTGAGGGCTCCCTGGGGGCCCAGCCAGGCCCAGCTCGGAGACGCCCGGGAGAATCTCCAGGGTAACAGCTGAGCAGGAGCCTCCGGCACAAAGTACTCCCCAATGGGCTCCTCTAGGTCCTGAAATGTCCACCAGGTGTGGAAATGGCCGAGTGCCCCAGGCAGGGACGTTCCGTTGCAAACCTGCCTGGCGCCTGGAAGCTGAGACCCTGGGGCCTTTCTCCTGGCTGCAGATGCCCTGCCGCTCACCCCAGCCCTTCTCACTGCTTCATGGCACCGTGCCCTGCCGGCATGAGCCTGGCTGCCACACAGACCCGATTTCCCAAGGACAGAACCTGCCCGGCCCAGAAAGGCAGCGGAGCCAGGCAGGGGCCATGGGTGAGGCTCTGCCCTTTGCTCTCTGGGACTCACGCAGGGTTTGGGAGCGGAGACGTCGGCTGCTCCATGAGAATTGCACCTTCCCTCCCAGCACAGAGTAACTACAGAGCGTCCGTCTGTCCCTGCCTGTCTGTCCATGCACCCGCCCTCTCTGCCCCCTCCAGCCCTGCCCCCGTGTCTGTGTCCTGGACGTTCATTCGCATTTCGTAGCGGAGTCACTGGGGGCTCAGGGTAGGAAATGCTGGTGCTTCTGCCCGGGCTGCTCTTGGCTCTTGGGCAGGGAAACCAAGACTTGTGCCCCTGGCAGCCCGCTCTGAGCTTCCCCTGCCTTTCCTTCCCCTGCGGGCGCCATCCTACTCCCCCTCAGTCTGCCCCCCGTTCCCAGGGACACCGGGAATCGTGGGGGGTTCCCCTGGACTGGGTCCTTGGTGAGCTTACCCCCCCCACCCCTCCCCGGCCCCCTGCCCCAGCCGGGGATGAGGAGTCTCTGCCTGGGATCCAGGTGGGGAGCTGCCGGGGCAGGAACCGCACTGGCCGGGGCTCGGAGGCAGGGACATTTATCCTGCCTGCCTGGGAGTCCCAGCGGGGTCGGAGCCAGCAGGGAGCCCTGGGCACAGAGCAGTTTCCAGCTCAGCCGCAGGCAGGGGCTGGCTGGGGTCAGGGGATTTGTGGGTTTACATCAGTGATAGTCCTGACGGCTTCGCTCTCCCAAGCCCAAACGCCCAGGCTGCGTGCTGTCCCATACAGGAGCCGGGCAGCCGTGACCAGCCCACCTGGGATCAGTGCCACACTGTGCACAGCTCCCATCCTGGGCAGCTCACAATGTTACCCAAGGGGGGGGGGGGACATGGACTGCAGTCGCTCTGCTCTGTGTGTCTCTCATGAGGCTTGAGAGCTTGGAAGCTCGGCCCATGAGCCAGGTCACTGTGTCTTTCCCCTTCTGGGGACATGACCTGTGTGAACCTCTCTCAGGACCCAATGACCCTCTCTCAGGACCCTCACTGCCCCTGAAGGGTGCCCCTTCCATGGGGACTGGCAGGCAACACCCAGCTGGTCCTCTGCCCGAGCATCCAGCCCCGGCTCCCTACAGCCAACAGTGCCCAAGCCCTACTGCTGTGTCCCTGGGCTGCCTCTTGCCTCACCTTCTCCCCGCCGACAGCCACTGCAGTCTCCCTATGCTGCTGCCTTCTGCCTTTGGCACCTCAGCTTTATGCAGGACCCCCCAGGGCTGGGCCTACAGCCAGTGGTGGCCCAGGGAGGCGCATTGGAGCCCCCACCCATCATCTGTTACACTAACGAACATCTCACTCATTATGCATTTGTAGCCACTGTGACGTAGTGGGGGTACCTGCTGGTTTCTATGGGTCTGTGGTAACCCCCACTGGCTGCAGTTGGTACCGCGGCCCAGAAGGACAGGCCATGAGGCATTATGCAAAGAAGGTCTCAACCTGTCTGACCAGTCACCCCCCATGGAGAGGAACAAAGGAAGGGGGAATGCAGCCCTGGCTGGGGGCAGGGCTGGAAGAGGAGAGTTAGTTCCGGACTGGAAAGCAGGGAAGAAGGAACTGGGGAAGGGGCTGGGATCCCCCCATCTCAAAGGGGGCACTGAGGCCTCTTAGCCCCAGTTCCTGTAACCAGATTGCATCTGTGCTGTGCTGTATCCTGGAGGAGCAATAAACGACCCTCAATTCTACTGGCTGGTGGAGTCTGTTTGTGCCATTTCGGGGTGCAGGAGACGGGGGACCCCCAACGCGCCGTCACAGCCCATTGCACGTCTTTGGTGCCAGCTTTGCATACAAGATTTACCCCTGTCATATGAGTGAGTGAATTCGTATGCTGGGTTTTGGAAAGCTGGATTTATTCATGCCACAGATAAATTAATATAAAATGTTTCTTCTAATTATAGATATATTTAAGTTTCAGAATCCCTGAAGTGGACTCACAGAGACACTGAAGGGTGGGGCTGGCAGCAAAAGGGGTAGCAGCCGGTGACAGTCTTAGAACGCTGACCCTTCGACTGTCGTTCAAACGGTTGCTTTTCTAGCCTTCAGCTGAGCAGACGGAAGCCCCGTGTCAGATCCACACTCTGGCCAGCAGCGTTATTGAGTGACGAAACCGCAAGTCATCTCGCTGAAATGTTCTGCGTGGAGAGAGCCTGGAAGTCTCCATCACCCGCTGCAAAGGCCCAGGACTTCCCAGGAGGTTGGCGAGAAATGACCCCTCCGGCGGGATTCCTGACACACTTCAGCTACGTCTAGACAGCATCCGTCTGCCGACAGAGGGATGCAAATCAAGCACTTGGAAAGTACTTCATTTGCATACTTACATTCGGGCGTTGTGCCGATCAAGCGCCCTTTTGAAAGTGAAAGTAAAGTGTAGCCGCGGTTCTGCTGACAGCGGGAAGCTTTTTTGAAAGATCCTGGACTCCGCAACAAATGAGAAAACGAATAAGGAAATATGACTTACCCCTTGCCATAACACAAGGACAGGAATCACCTGATGACATTAACTA